GCCAGAAAATATGCTTTCGCCTCCGCCCCCCATCCGATGAAGGTAAGGCTTCCGCCTTTCGCCCGGTCCCCCCCCCCCCCCCCACGTGACGACCACGGCTGGTTTCAGAGGTCAGATTTAGTCCCTAAGCCCTGCTGAAGGGTAGAGGTGGTCCTCTGCCGTAGTTTCGATTGGCCGAACGGGGGGTGACGAGAGAAGAGGAGGGTAGCCCTCTCGTTCTGACCTTTGCTTAAAAGCCTGTGAACGTGTTGCTGTTTGCGCTCCTGCTAAACAAAATGGGGTCCTTGTTCTGTCCCGCGAGCCCTAGTTGTGCGTAGCGTGAATTTGTTCTGCGGTCTATCGCGGTGGAGTATCGACAGAATTTTGGGAAGACTCTTTGTGGAGGCGGACCTCTAGAAGACATCACAACAAGAACGAAGGCGACGATCCCAGCACAGGCATCAACCGTTTACAGCAGCAACAACAACAACGACAACAGTATTAAATGTAAAAGCGACTCTGTTGTATCAACTTGATCAGAACGCCCACAGTCTACGTTTTGATGAGATACTTTTTTTCCCAGTATAACCATGCTACTACTACTGCTGTAGTACTCAACGAGCGTTCTCTGTAAGCGTATAACGTTCTGAGTGCGCAGCAACTTCCAACGCGAGTACTTTTTTATTTAGCAGTTGACACACGCATTGGACAGCAGGTTCATCGAGATCTGAGCAACACAACAAGGGGGAGAGAGATAAAAATTCCTTCTCCCGGCCGAATCAAGATTGCATAAGCTATGTTTCGCACACGGCGCCCAATTTTGCCACACTTGGTGCTTTGACAGGCAGTTTCTACCCCTACGAGTTCATTCTCGGCACGATGCTGCACGAGCTGGTGCACAACCAGATCGGCCCGCACAGCGCGAAGTTCTACCGGATGTTGGACCAGCTCAACGACGAGTGCGACAAGCTCATTCGGGAAGGTGCGTTCGCTTAATTAGCATCGACCGCGCTTAGTGACTGACCAATGAAAAGCCGTCAGTGCCAGCGGATAAAACCAAGGCCCCTGGAGGGAGGGGGCAATGTTCGAGTAGTGCGCAATGCTACCAACTGCGAATGCCAAGATTCATCTCTTTACTTATCCTTGCTTACGTTCCCGCTGAGCTCAACCTAATCCATTTGTGCACTGTCTCTCATTTGCTCGCTCAATGCTTCGTGCCTGTTTGTTGTTTCTTCTATTGTTAATGTGGTTCTGGCGTACGAGCTTGTCGGAGCCAAGTGGGTCTCACGTACTCGGTCCCTTCGTGATATTCTTTTGTTTTTGGCCCTTCGTCTCGTCTTGACTCGTGTGTCCTTGCTCCCGACGCGTTGCAGGCATAACCGGGCGCAACATGCCATTCGCTGGAGACGGGCAGTCCTTAGGAGGGGGGCGAGCCCCAGAAGATGCTAGGGCCGCTGCGCTAAAGGTACCCACCCACTGGGTTTTCGCATTCGTCGACGTTACGGCACCGGGGTACGCCAAAAATATCAAGAGAGAAACGATCACAGCAAAACCTGATTGCACCGCGTGCGTCCACTCCTATCATGAAGGTATCCTAGCCCTCCTCCTGTGATGAACAAAACATGCATACCAAGGGTGACACATCGTGCGTGCCGATGGGTGAAGGTGGGGGGTAGGTGGGAGAAGGACATGAAACTCCAGGAACAACGTTGTTAGACAAAATATATTTGAACATGTGACTACTGCTGTACCGTTAAGTGGTTTGTTTGTCAAGGGTCTTTTTCTCTTTTTCGGAAATTCGAACGAACGACGATGACGCCTTTTCCAGGCGATCACGCGCGTGCGTGCGTACGAGTTCCGGTCGGGCTTGCAGGCAAACGTGCAACATTGAGAGCTACAATACCATGATGAACCAGTTCTCCGAGTATATTTTATTTCGGTACATGACACGATTGAAGAAATATGGCCAAGAGTGTGAGTTTGATTGAGTATGCATCGATACATAGCGCGTGGCGACCCCCGACCTTGTTCTGGTGTTTTTTTTTTTTTTTTAACGCGTTTTGTTCCTCGGTCTTTTGTTGATATCCCCACCCTCCTCGCTTTGCTTGGTTTTGCCCCCGGTGTGCGGCCAACCGCTGCCGCCGTGTGCGGCACGACAGGCGGCGGAGAAGAGACAGCAGCAACAGGGTATCATGGGCGGCGGGGGGCAGCGGTTGGGCGGTGTTTCGGGCTCCTCGCCGTCGGATGCAGTTTCCGCCGCGCAGCGTGCTGCGGCCGCCGCACAATGGTGAGCGAAGGAGTAGAACATCGTGTGCTAGTCAGTGTCGAGTCGATTGCGACAGCCGGGTAACATAGTTGTTAGTGTCAAGGCCAGAAACGCTCTTCTCAATGGCGCATGCCAGATTTGTAGACGAAGGTTGATGGTCAGGGTCCTTGTTGTAGTCCTAGTACCGTATGTTTGGTTGTTGTCATTGTTTCGGCGGCAAGAAGGAGGTACTGGAATTGGAAACGACGTGAATAGGCAAGAGGGCGGTGTAGGAATTCACGCCGAGAACGACGAAAAATACCGCAAAACTCCAACAGCAGCATCAATGACGAAAATTATCTCTGCCGACTGCGTAAACGGGGACTTGCTGACAACGGCTGGGAAGCACCGATCAGTCTGCCAAAATGGCGAAAACAACATTGTAGCATCTCCAAGAAGACCGGCAATAATATGACACGTCGACAACGCCGGTTTATGCATCACTTGTCTGCCTCGACAACAATACCGTAGGTTGCACACCCCCTGGACCGATTTTCAAAGCTCGATTACTCCACGACGAAGAGGATGCCGAAATTGAAGTACCATACGTTTTCGGAAAGTTCTTGTCGAGACGGTTCCAACGCCTAACACCATATTCGGCACCGTCACAGCTTTTCCTGCCGAGATATCGAGCTTCGAAAATCGGCCCAGGGTGTGTGATATCTTCTGGAACCTACAGTATGTATCAACCACGCCGCTTGCTGCGCTGCATCACC